GAAACATATGGCAACTCACAGTCGTTAGATGAGCTCAGATAGTGGTATGTCTGAAACAACTCACTGTCGTTAGACAGCTTCAGGCAAAAGAAACACACTGCATACATTTGACCAGTCCAGACAATAGGGAGCATATCGCAACTCGTCATCGTTCAACTGATGACAGTAAGATACGCACGTCGCCTCACCATTGTTAGATCACCTTAGAAAGTTGGACCCTACGGCAGCTCATGATATTAGACCAGTTCACATAGTCGAAAGTACAGCTCACAGTTCCTGGACCAGCTCAGACAGTAGGTAACATATGGTAACTGCACTTTATTAGTCAAAGTACAAAATGAAGAAGCATTTCGACATCTCACTAACGTGAGACCGTCTCAAACAGCGGCAAACAAACGGCAACTCGCCGTCGTTCAGTAACACGTACAGCCGCTTCATAAAACGTCTAATAGTGTCAACAGGCTTGCGTGGGGTTTTTTTCAAAACAAACTACAGAAAGTCCCCATCCCTCATGTTTAAGCAGTAAACAAATCAATACATCTAATGGCTTGCGCAGAGGTCTCCAAGCACATACATTGTACTCCATTGTCAAAAAGCTTACACATTCTGCATGAATAACAAACAGTACATGTACTATATTCTATCAACACTGAACATTGTTCCTCACTAGTTATTGAACGTCAGATACATTGACAACGTCATATTATGGTGGCTCATTCGGGCCATCGCTTTATCGCCCTGAAAAATGTAGGCGACATCGCGACAAAGCGATAGTACGACACGACATAACATACGTCGACCCGATATTAACGTCCTAAGAAGACAAATCTAAAAGCTTTCGATTTGTAATTCTTTGTCTCGTATCTGACATTGCTTTATGGCTCGCATCCATCTTCCCCAGCTTCTGCAGTAACACACAAACCAAACCAAATCGTCTTTAGAAACCGCAAAAAGGCAACATGTCCACCAATCAATACACCAGTAAGTCACCTACTCATGGTTCCTGTCCTGGGTCTAGATTTTCCAAGCTCTCTTAGCGCTAAGATAGTCGTAAGTGCCATACATTAACATTAATTTACGACTATCTTAGCACTAAGAGATCTTCGAAAATCTAGGCCCTGTCCTGCTCTGTGATAGACAGGCGGTGTCTGTATTTTGGGACAGGTGTTACATACGTTTGAAGATATTTGTATCAAAACTTTTTATTGTATAAAATTGTCCTCGATTAGTCAACAGCGTTGCCTTATACTGCCCAAACCTGGATATTTTCCAGTGATGCTGATCACTGTCTACTCAATTCCCAACAGGCCACCGTCGTTGGACGGGAGTGTTACAGTATTGCACTGGACAAGAAACAAAAACTTGTTTAGCAAACTTGTGTGAGTAACGGATACTAGCAATGGAACATGATACGCTTACCCTTTCAGCGAACGGCAGAAATCCTTCAGATTCCAGTGATCCATATATGTTATTATTATCATTTTTTTGCCTTTTGCGCCTAATGGATTACATTTCCGCAGATACTACAAACTGATTATTCCCTTGTGTTATCGTTTGAAAATCAGGAAAAAAATTGGAAAATGGATGAGAAAATATTAAACATTTCATGGCAAAGCTTCCATAACGTGCTCTTAATAACTAGGACAGACAGTCATTGTTCCTGGACAATTGCTGGGCGATATGATGCAACGGACACCAACGTAGCTGACAATCATACTTAAATGTCAGTTGGCATGATCAAAACAATTTGGCTAAGAAGTTTCACTAAAGCTTCACGAACATCAACTAATTCCCTTCCACTGATTCACCCAGTGGAACTTGAAATATAGAAAACAAGAGAGACCGCCTCATGTGGCTCATATTTAGATCTATGCATAAAGATTCAGGTGACAAAACCGCTACGCAAGGATGTATAACAAAAGGGGTGATTTCTAGTGACCCGTGAAGATCCGGGTTAGAATATTGATCTTCAGTAACCCATTCTTGTCGTAAGAGGCGACTAAAGGGATCGGGTGATCAGGCTCGCTGACTTGGTTGACACATGTCATCGGTTCCCAACTGCGCAGATCGGTGCTCATGCTGTTGATCACTGGATTGTCATGTCCAGACTCGATTATGTACAGACCGCCGCCATATGGCTGGAATATTGCTGAGTGCGGCGTAAAACTTAACTCTCTCACTCACTCACTCAACTCTCTAGTAGTTGACCTTCTCTTCATGTCGAGCAATATTCCAACAGCTCCGGCCTTTGTTGTTTACATTTCACAGCTTTTGTTACCAAGATTTTAAAGCAGCGCCAAACAACTCTTGGTCAGAGGTTGTTCAAGGAAGGTTACAACATTCAAGATCTCAGTTTGACCTTCGACACGTTTTCATGCGGAGAACATTTCAAAATACGTCAGTGACGAAAATGTCCAATACAATTCCCTATTTGGAATTGTACCATACGTTGCCCTACTATTATCAGGTGAACAGTTGACTAGCCTTTGTGTATGTTCACGCTAGGTGCCACCGATGGGGCTGGATGCGTTCAACATTACACGTACACCTAGTATCATCACTATTTATTAGTAATTCATTTTCAGCCATTATATTTCATGGTGTCAATCACAAGATGTCTGATCCAGACTCGAATATTTACAGACCACCGTCATAAGCTGTAATATTGATGAGTGCGGCGTTAAACAAACACACACGTGCTCATAATCTTGTCGGAATTGTACTTTCAATTCGGCTTTTAACAACTTTTTGTCGTTGTGTGGAAATGGTTTTGGAAGGCAACATCTTTACTGAATAATCGTTGTTGTAGCAAATAGTGTTGAAATGTTAACGTTTAGTACCCAAGATATTGAGGAAAGGCTTCATCTGTAACCTGGTCGTCAGTGGCAGAGTTCAGCGGACAACACGTCTTGCATCAACCTTACATCAAGAATATATGCAATCCATTCTCGCTGCTACGACATTCATAGACTCTGATGTCTGGATGCGTTACTGAGGCTGGTGCACATGAGTCAGTTAGCTACATATGAAATGGTAAAGGTGAAAAGACATGATTCTTAAGAAGCGAGTAGACTGGTACCTAGTCTGCACATCACGACAGTTTCACATCTGTTACAGTTACAGCTGCTGGAGGTAAAACATTGGAACACATGGCAGGGCGTATCATGAAACTGGTGTATAATCTACGACTCCATGCAGAGAATAGAGTCACTGTGCTGTGGCATATCTTTAGTAAGACATAGTGTCATATAGATACAACCCTATCCGTACCCATCAATAACATCCGGCGACAAACGGGATCGTGTGGTCAGTTCATCAGTTAGTCAATTTGCTTTGTTAACCACAGAACCCTTTATTCCCCTCTTACAAGAGTGTGATTTTGAATCATTTCTAACCCGTGTATTCATCGTTCATCGTGAACCATACTTGCGAGTGTATGGATGAGTGGACAGTCAGGATAGCTCTTCGTCTCGGATCGGACTCGGCGAACGTAACAATAACTGCTCATTTGAATCTTTTGGGTTTCTGCCAAGAAGTGGCACAAGACACGCAGACTTGCTTCTGAGAGGACGGTCAATTCGCGTAATGACTGTTCACAGCATATTGTAACTTCTGAAAGTTCTGAGACGATATTACCTGATCATATTCTTTGGAAGCATGGCTAGGACCGCATGCAGCTGTGGGCAAGGTTAGGTGAATTTGGTTTAAAGGTCACTTTCAAGATTATTTCACTCACACAGCTGTGCTTTTTCGGGGTTGTGCTTGCCTGCACAGTCGCAGCTTGAACTTTTGACTTGTAGGTCTCATTCGCACTCTGTAAATGTACTCCAAACCGTTAGGTTTAATGCTCTATGCTGACTGTTGGGCAGAGTAAGAAGTGTCATCGTTTACCTAATTTTGGTATGACAATCACAGTGGAGCCACGCACTTTTCACTCTCCAACCACTGAACCCCTATACCAACCTGTAACAGACATCCAGACTTGTTTCTGAGTAGTTCTTCCTTTTTATCGTATGTTAGGTATTACCATACACTGCAATAGTCCAGCTATATTTAGGCAACGTTTAACGAAACAACTCAGAACCAGTCAAAGTTTTGATTGCGATCAGGATCTGAGGATACTATAACATGCAGTGGTGGTGTGTTGTCCTGTTCATAGAGTTCAGGGCCTCCTTCCACAAAGCGCTAAGCTCACTAAGGTTCTGTCACTAAGGTGACCTTTGGGCAATGTTGAAGAATGGGAGTTAAGGTTAGCCTTAGTAAAGGTTGCTTCGTGAAAGGAGACCCAGGTTACAGATCAGTTGGACGTAAGGAACGTTGAGCACGGAGAGTCTTTGGATGGGTGACCGTGTTTGGCAGCTTGACTCCTGAGTTTCTTGGACTTCAGGGCCCCGTTTCACAAAGCTCTCGTAAGCCTAAGATCTCGTAATTTTTCTCGTTGCATTCGTACTTCCCATACTATAACACAGGAACTTCGAATGCTACGAGGAAAGTTACGAGATCTTAGGCTTACGTGAGCTTTGTGAAACAGCGCCCAGTCCTTCCCCACAACAAAGCACATGTGATACCAGTGGCCTCACCAAAATAGCCTCTGTTCACCGAGCAGAAAATGGGTACCTGGTGGGATAAGTCATGTGACTATTAACCTTCTAGCGCCTCACAAGCAGCTTGGGTCATCCGGGGTATTAATAAACAGGGCCCTAATTCTCGAAACGTTCGTAGCCCTAAGAATTCTTAACTTTGATCGTAGCAAATGTGTTAAGAATGGGCTTAAGAAGTTCGTAGGGCTACGAACGTTTCGAGAATAGCTTGCCAGATCATATTGTGCGCTTTGAGCACAATATGAAGCCTGGAAGGGCTTGCTATATATATTCTGCATTCTGTTCTACATTCATTCAATCAACAAAGACTGACCACACCACCACCAGGACAAACAAGCTGGGAACTAATCCTGAATGCCAACAAGGATTCAGAAATCCTTCAGTAAAAGACAACACACCTCACAGGGATATAATTTATTGCCTACAGTATACCAGACAATATTATACACATTAAGCACATTGATGAGGGGAATCTGAGGTGAGATGTGCTTACATATTTCTAAACATACCACAGGCTACTTCAGTGATTTTCACACAGCATAACTTAAATTCACATCAACTTTCAGATAAACAAATTACTCCATTTCTGTAAACAATGAGGGTTACTTCTATACCATTCTAGGTCATACTGACTAACTTGATGAGTTGCTCAAGGATGAGAATCGATCTCTAAATACATATTTTACTACAGCTTCAATACAACCACATTCAGCAAGATGTACCCAGGCTTTTGCCAATAAACTGGTCATAAAGGGCGATTACTCTTTGAGTCAACCTTTCCCACACCAGTTTGAATGATGTCACGTTTTTGGTACAGTCTGATGCATGTGTCGTTGCAGCGTCAGGCATTGCAGGGTGTCACATATACCAATACATGTGAAAGCTGCCTTAACACTCAAAGCATTATTCTGACCAATAGCAGTTGAAGCTTGACATCTGTAGCACAACATCATGCATTAACTGTAGCACATCATGCATATCTAGATGGAATGCAAGTTTGGCAGTAATCTGCTCTTAATTATTTCATTTCCAGCCAATAATTTGATCAACTATCAATATTTACAATTGATCCCACCAAATCCATGCAAGAGATGTGAAATTAAAAGATAGATATACGTGATATTAGATAATGCTATGATAAAGGCTAAGGCAGTAATATAACCAATCATACAGTTCAACACAATTTGTACAAGATTCAAACAAACAAGGATAAGTATCAGTGCTCATTTCAAACACATACAAGTAAGGGTTTCCTTTCGAAACAGTGACAACTTAATGGAAAAAAGAGTATGAAAATAAACAGAATGCCATCATCCGACACCACTGTCTCAACAATCAGAAGCACAACACAAGGAATAATATTACTCATGGCTATTCGTATTGCACTCTGGTTTTGCAAATGCAACAGGTGTAATTTGGTTTCTGGGAAAGTTTGTTCATGAGTTCTGATCAAAACAAAGCTGAAGTATTGATTAATAATAACATCAAATGGCATTGGAACATTTAAATTGTATAAATTGACATGAATTCAGATCATGATAGTCACATATTCGATCTTTACAAATGGCAACACACATCTAATCTGAACTCTTCTGAAACAACATTAATATCACATGTCTCTAATAAATTCACAGTTTGTACACCTAAGCAATAATCAAATCATTTGGTGATCAACACTAATGTTGCATTCAAGATCTATTCACACTTGTGTTAACATCAACTTGAGTAGTCAAATATGCAAGAGTTATCTCCCTTGTCGTATCTGAGGGCAGGCTCCGAACCAGTAAAGTTCAGTCAGTCATCTAAAAGTTCAACTCTGTGGTGATTTCGACTGATGGCAGCAATAAGAGACAGTAACTTGACCTGTGGACAGTCTGCTATACAAGCAAAAACTTTCAAGATTCAACTGATTTTTTTTTTAAAGCATTGGATGTAAGCTGTTAGTGTCTTGGGCTTTGGTAGTCTTATGGTAGTAAGTGAGTAGATGGGTTTTGTTTTACGCCGTTTTCAGCAATATTCCAGCAATATCATGGCAGGGGACACGAAAAATGGTCTTCACACATTGTACCTATGTGGGGAAGTGAATCCTGGTTTTCAGCTTGTCGAGCAAACGGTTTAACCACCAGGCTAACCCACTGCTCCCTCTTGGTAGTATTTGGACAGCTGAACTTGTCAAATGTTTAAAATGTTGCTCAAGTGATATGATCAGTAAGTAATGGCTTGAATGCTTTGAAAACATAGATGTGTCTCTTGATAAAAACTGAAAACTTTTTCCATGTTACAAATTACACACCTAAATGAATTCAAATAATGGTTTGGTAATTCTGTGTCTAAACAACACTTAAGTCTATCACCTAATGATTCTAACAACATGTCTTGGATCCAGGTAGACAGGGAAGTTGATTGGTTTTATCCTAGTTGAGTTGTGTTCAGCATCGTGTCTCATACAGGCCACTTCGACCGATGTATCGTACCCACTTGATGACATCATGATCGCTATAGTTCATCTTCGACTCAAATACTTTCAGATACCTAACCTTAAAACCTGATGGGGCAAACGGAACCTGCAAGAAAATATGAGAGGTTGTTATTTTATGCTTAAGAAAAAAGAAGTAGATAAAGACAGATATTAATGGTTTCAGCATCACAGTGAAAAATTATACAGGGCGAATTAGAAATAATTATGATACAAAAGTACAATACAATAATATCAAACTGTGATGGTACAGTATGCAGAGTTAGAACCTGAGGTTACTCTGGTTCTCTGGCATTCCTCGAAACCATTCAGCTGGAATACAAAACATCTCCTGCATTCTGATAATTGCTAGATTGAGGTCACCCAGGATCTCTGGTGTTCAGTCAGTTTCATGTCAACAGAATGAGACATCAGAATGCAATGTTACGGTGTTATGGTGCACTTTCTATTCTTACATATTACGGAAAGGTTTTTTCTGCAGATTTTTATTGCAGATACTTCAATGACTGACTGAGTGAGTTTGGCTCTACGCCGCTTTTAGCAATATTCTAGCAACATCATGGCGGGGGACACCAGAAATGGGCTCACACGTTGTACCCATGTGGGGATTCGAACCCGGTCTTCGGCGTGACGAGCCAACGCTTTAACCACTAGACTACCCCATCGCCCCATACTTCAATGAATCCTTATGTGAAGGTTTGTAATGTGATCTGCTCCTAACAGTGATACTCACTTCAAAGTTCATTGAGATAGGGGGTCTAGTCCATTTCTTCTTATCATTTGTGTTGAGGAGCTCAATCTCAGCACTCAGCTGGCATTCCTTCATCCCGCCCATACGCTTGATCCTAGAATACAGGAAACATCAGATTGGTTAGTCACATCGGTTATCTGTCTCATCAGATCAGTTATCCAATACATATTAGTCACATTGGTTATCAGTTAGTTACATCATATCAGTTGGTAACAGTTGACTGTTAGACTGAGTTTAGTTTTACCCGCTTTTAGCAATATTCCAGCAATATCACTGCAGGGGACACCAGAAATGGGCTTCACACATTGTGTCCATTCCAGGGAATCGAACCCGGGTCTTCAGAAATGGGCGAGCCAATGCTTTAATCACTAGGCTACCCTACCACCCCTAGTTGGTAACATCAGTTATCAGTTAGTCACATCATATCAGTCACAAAGATCAGTTGGTAACATCAGTAATCAGTTATTCACATCATATCAGTTGGTCCATCAAAGCGACAAGATAATTAAATGTGAAATATGAATGATTAATAATAATAATAATGGATATTTTTAGCGCCATTTTCCACCCACTGATACATGCTCAAGGCGCTACATAAAAGCATACATACAATGCATACAGAGGATAAAATAGCAAAATAAATATACATTGAAATTGATGACAGAAAGATTGATTTTAGGGATAGGCTTTGGAAAAAAAGAAAGTCTTAGATGCAAAGACAAGCTTGGTGATACTCACTTCCACACGATAGCGTTTTCACTGGCCTTGTATTTGGCCTTGCCCTTCATACAGATCACCTGTACTCCGCTGGTGTTGAGAGGTGTTGGGATCCTCACCTGAAACATACCAGGCAAATCTCCATGACACACTCTACACACATTTAGATAGAAATCAAGTTACAGTCAAAGCTTTCACAACAGGCTTGCATGAAACACATTAAGCAGCAATGAATATAAAACTTACCTTATTCACATTTAGAAAACAACAAATTGACTTTGAAGGTTAACTGGATCTGTTTAAAATAGACACTGGCAACTCTACCACCCATACACTAAACTTTACAATATTCTGTAAAGTTTTAACTGAAAAGTATCTTTAGTCTTGTGTATTCCACACATGATGGAGTTGCTAATATTATTAGCCAATGACAACACAGGTTTGGGAGGAAATCTGTTAGCTGATAACATAAAGTGAGTGAGTGAGTATGGTTTTACGCCGCTTTTAGCAATATTCCAGCAACATCACGGCAGAGGACACCAGAAATGGGCTTCACACAATGTGCCCATGTGGGGATTCGAACCCGGGTCCTCGGCGTGACGAGCCAACGCTTTAACCACTAGGCTACCCCACTGCCCCGATAATATGAAGTGACACATTCCCGTTTAAGAATAAAACTTGATATGGTAAACAGAACTTATCAATATTTTGAAGAACTTTCTTGAGAATAAACAGAAAAATTGCAATTGGTAATCAGATCATTGAGTATTGTTTGCCAACGTATCTGATAAAGTTGTTTTTTGCAATATGTACTATGTGGCTATAGTTCATCTATCCAATACACTGATACTTGGCATCTATCTGGAGCAATCGGTTCCATACCTCCACCTTCTGGGCCAACAGCGAGGGTTTGAAGTTTGATTTGACAACAACTTTCACCTCCATCTTCTGCCTCCCAACCTCTCTGACAAGTGGGATAACACGGAATGGCAGGCTGATGTCCTTGGTTGTACGGTATCTGAAAGTAAACAGCAATGCATGTCTTACGAGCTGAGTTAAATTATGCTCCACGTAAGTGACTGTATCTCTCTTGAATTATGAAGGAGAAAGGTCATGACACACGACAAAGATCAACAGTGAAATTGGTGCACTTAATACACAGGGAAGAAACTGATTTTGTCAAAAGTTCTTCAGTGGACATTATCATCAACAAATTTGAATTATTACAGCTCTTATCATCCATATAAGTTTAACCTGTCTGCACCTTGTGGCAGCCATGTTTAAAGTTGGACTAAAATGATATCAGCACTATTTACAGACACACTAAAGCTTGGGTCATTTATGTTAAGATTCAGACTAAATTTACAAAATACAACAGATCCCATTACAAAAACTCCGACTGTTGCAACGTATATTCTGTTTATTTTGGCATCATGTTCATATGACCACAGTTATAACTGTGACAACCAGTTTCAACTAGATGGCCTTACATCAGTATCATGACTACACTATTGCTTCCTGTGCCTTTGTCTCAACATAGCACTGTCAGTCTTGTCATCTCATATTTCTCATGAAGTAATATGAAAAATAGAGTGAGTGAATGAGTTTAGTTTTCGCCGCACTCAGCAATATTCCAGCTATATGGTGGCAGTCTGTAAATACTGTAAACGTATTATATATCGCGCAGGTCTATTTTCGTGCTAAATATTTTACCGCTAAAATTTATACACAGCGAATAAACCTTTCATTCATTCACTCAACCCACACTCGCCTCTGAGTTGTTACCATGACACATCAAGTTTGAAGACAGAAATCTACGGGAATCTTAAAATGACGACTGATTGTAGCATAAAGAATCACACTTAACTGTCGCTGTAATGGATTTCCCAAATCATGTCTCGACATGTTCTATTTTGATTAATCGTAGTGACAGATGGTTTGATACAAAACGGATTACCATGAAGCGACTCGGAAAGAAATAATACAGCAGTATTTTATTTATTCATTAAGATTTTATTTATATTTATAAATGCATATCACGAAATGATATGTCTGGGGGTAGGTGCTTTCTTTAACCACATTCGCAATGCCATCGTTAGATCGTCAGAATTCGGAACATAAGACTGATGTGTTTTTCATCTCTTTTATATAGTATACTAGTACCATCACGATATCTCACTTCCTAAGTACTTAATACTTCCGTGAGTAAACGTATAACTGTATATATCCCGCAGGTAGGGATTTCCTGTGAGTAAGCAATACACGCCGCCTGACAGGGTAAGCCACTCTGGTTGATTTCAGCTGGCAGTTCCGGCAATTACTGATTGCGCGAATAATTGACTGCGCGATGTAGTCTAAACTGTCCATTCCATGAAATTTGCACCAAGCGAAAAAAAGTATGTTTACAGTAATCAAGTCTGGATCAGACAATCCAGTGATCAACAGCATGTGCATCGATCTATGCAATTGGGATACGATGATATGTGTCAACCAAGTCAGCGAACCTGACCACCCGCTCCTGTTAGTCGCCTCCTACAACAAGCATGGGTTACTGAAGATCAACTCTAACACGGACCTTCACGGGTCATATGAATAAAGGGACAAAACAGAAACAAAATCTGAAGTAAGAACATTTCAGGACAGACTAAATAAAGCTGGGTACCTCATGAGTTCAAATTCTCCATCAGGTGGAATGAAGCTGATGCTGTGTTCGGTCTCAAACTTGCTGAGCTTGACACACTGGTGGAACTGACAGTCGTCTATTGCAATGGACGTCTTCCCTCCTCCACCAAAGTGACTGTTGAAAGCAACAATGTATTACAGAATACTGAAACACTGGTTCCACTATATGATCAAACTTAACATTAAACATGTGCAACTCAAAACTTCCCTGCTGAAAAAATGGGGCATATTTTTCTTTCTGTTTCCATCTTCAAATAATTTTCACTTCATTAAGCTATCAAAGACATATTTCCAGGTAATTCCCCTCATACACTTCATATTCTGATACCAGACACAGCTATATCATACTTCTAGATCATAGCCACTAACACCATTGAAAACCAGTAGTCTTTACCAAATACCTGCATTATTAATGAGGTGAGGTGAAATTGGGTTTATCGTCGTGCTTGAGAATATTTCGCTCATATGACGATGTGCATGCGCGTGTATGTGTATGTGCAGCTGCTTGTACTAGCCCAGACTGAAGCTGGTTTTATAGTGCTAGCTCACTGAGATACCATGCCGCAGTGAAGCATGAATACCCCACTCAGACACATTATACTGACTCCGAGCCGACCAGTCCTTGATGTACCCATTAATGCCGAGCGCCAGGCAGGGACCAACAAGTACCATATCTTAACGTCTTTTGGTATGACGTGGTCGGGGATCGAACCCGCGACCTTCCGCTCTCCACAGGCGGATGCTCTAACCACTACACCACGGAGGCGGTTGCATTATTAATGAAAGAAGATTGTGGATGTGTGGTAGTTCCACATGATCTAAATGCAATGATGATGTATATCTCCGGCAAGACTGATACTTTTGTAAAAGTGTTCTTTGCAGGGTTTATTTGTTATGGTAAGTAACTATAATTATCGCCAGGATAGCTGGTTTTCCTGTATTAGCACACATGCAGTTTTCTTCAGTGATTAATAATCACCATGTTTTGGTTCTATTTGAAGTGACATGGATAACAAACTTAAGTCTATCCATGACACATACCATCGAATACAAAATATTCAATCATATCAAGAAAACTAGTTGACAAGTTGTAGGATGGTTTCACTAATCATGATGCTAAAATGACCTCACACAGTTGACAGCTCGTTCACCCTTTCCATGACTTACCTCCCCCTGCTTGCTGTATCATCCAAACTGCTCTTGCCTTTGCTCTCCATCAGCAGCTTGTCGTTGATACCAAACTTGCACTCGGGCATTCCACTCAGGTAACTCTTCATCACAATCCTTCCTGCTACGTGGGCACTCAGCACCTGACCTGTAACAGAAAGCATCTGATGTCCATTTCCAGCCATGTTCTGGACATTCTAATTAGTCCTCTTTGTGAAACGTACAATGTCTCTGCATAATAACAATACTGTCATTACTAGACCAATAAACATCCCACTCCATCAGCAGACAAAGCTGTGTTGCAGTGACGAATGGGCAGGCACAAGACTGTTTTGACAGGCTGAAAATTCATGATAAGAGTTGTTGATTCTGTGAAAGTTGAGTCTAGAAGAATTAGTCCAAATAAAGAAAATGTTGTGGTTCTGATTACACCTCTTTAAAAATTAGGGTAGTTAGGATTTTTTGTTACATTTTGTTTTGAAAGTACAAAAGTAAAGTACAAACTAATAACACGTTTATCAATGTGTAATTGTTTATTCAATCAAGCTTGAGGCCATAATGTCTACTTTCTTTATCAGAATGACTGATGTCAGTAGGTGCCGGAAAAAGATGTTGGTATCTGAAAGCTTATATTATTCATACCACTTTAAAAAAATACTGTCTGCATCAGAATTCAAGGGTCAGTCAGCTAATCGGAACCACAACATTTGTTTTTAGGCCTTATCCAAGTTCAGGACATGGATTCAATGCTGCACCAACCCACCTTGTGGTGACATGAGAAGGTTCACAGACTCCAAAACATCCAAGAACAGTTCATTCCTCCGGTACTTGATTCCTTCTCGGCGCCATCCAATCTGGCCTGTAACTTGTGACGTGATCTGAGCTGTCTCCTCTTTCGTCTGTGGATATGGATGGTAATTGTTTTTACAAAGCATGAAGATGTGTGCCATTATCAAAACACAAAAAGTTTCAGGACAAAATTTAGCATTTAACTCTACTTATGAACATTGTATTCTGATTGGATGAGATCCACTGTCTATATTTTTCTAATATACCTACTAATACACAAGGGAAATATTTCAAGTTCATGTGTAAACTAACAAAATGTTGGCATTACCTTTTCAGCATACCAACAAAATTTGTGTATCTCACATTAACGCTGTAAGAAACCATTATCAAGAATTTTTACAATATTTTGGAACGCATTAGATCTAGGGCGAAAAACACATAAGTTTGTGAAATGTTGTCATCTGTATAATGCCTTATTTTAGTTCTGTTACTTTGGATAAAGCATGCTTGTATAAGCCACACCTGTGACATAATTTGGAATGAGGTAAGATACATGTATACGGCCAATGTATTTGTCCTGACATTGAATGCCGGACCCTTATGGTGACAATCTGAGTGTTGGGAATTGTCATAAATGATGTATTACCCCGCAATCTGTTAATTAGTTAGCCATTTATGAAATTAGTTAAGTCCAAAGGGGCGTTACTTATTTGGCAAAACCACATCATGGAGGGTACATAAAAGCCCTTGATGTCTTAAGATACATCAAGACTGCTTATGAAACGTAACGACCAATATATTGTTTCCCAGTTTAACTCTGATCTTAGGATGAATTGATGGGACCACCACTCTCACCTGAGATGTTAACTGCTCCTTGTTGTGTGGGATGAACGTCTTCAGGATACCAGTGTCAGTGTTCTGGGGGTATCCAAAATCCAGAATTTCTGCAAAGTTGAAAAGGGAGTTAATTGAGTTAATATTTAGCATCACATTGGCAATGTTTCAGCCATATCGTGAAAGTTGAAAAGACTTCATACATAATCGTAAGCTTTAGGTGCTGAGCAGCAGGGAGTACCAGTAGGCTGGAACCAAATAGAATTGAGTAATACTTTATTTGCACTTTGCATCTGGACAAAAAATTGACAACATAAATAATGTTTATTCCATTGGAATATGAGCTGAGAGGAAAAAAAGATTATCTTACAAAAGACACTCTTCAGGGACAAGCATACAAGCATTTTTGCTACATGTCCTGTGATGGTTATGTCAGCTGTTTACAGTTTACAAGGGAGCAAGGATCTTGTTGGACTTGCGCCATGTATGCATTGAAACATGGAACACTATCAGGCCCTTATGGCGCATATCAATACCACATGGTGCAATACAATTTAACACCCTGATCCTGATAAAAACATAAATCATATTTACATTAGTATAACTATTAGGGCTGGCTATCAACACAGATCATAGAAATTGATAACCATTTACTAAATATCGATCGATTATTGATAAATATGAGAGATGTAACTTTGAGCTAAAATGCCAAAAATGTCTGAAAGAAATGAATATCGCTTGTGAGTGGTCACATGATCTTACATGTGGATTTTTTAACCATACAAAATTCCTGAACATAATTTAGAGTGAGAAAGCGAGTTTAGTTTTACGCCACTTTTAGCAATATTCCAGCAATATCACGGCGGGGAACACCAGAAATGGGTTTCACACATTGTGCCCATGTGAGGAATCGAACCCAGGTCTTCGGCATGACAAGCGAACACTTTATCCACTAGGCTGCCGCACCGCCCTGAACATAATTTTGAAGCAGACCAGGAATATAGTCCTGCAATTTATATATTGTGTGAGAAAATTAAAACTTTTTTCCATCACAAAATTTAATGTTCAATATTATCAATAATACAATCTTCATATTGATAACTGCCATGAATATTGCTGAAAGCGGCATAAAACTAAAGTCACTCACTCACTGAAACTGATAATCATTAATAATTTTTCCTATCAACATTATTTCGATTATCGATCAGGCCCAGGGTAGTAAATCAGGACTCCTGCAATACATTGCATACTGGACATCATCCATGTGCGTAGTATTAGGGGTTTAAAGACGGAAACAGGGCGGTGAGAAGAACAGTAGTTAAAGTGTTCACTCATGACACTGAAGACCTGAGTTTGACTCCCCACAGGGGTACAATGTGTGAAGTCCACATCTGGTGTCCTCACCTGTTGAAAGTGGCTTAAAACCCATTCTCTTCCCACAGAGGTTACTTGTCATATCTTCCTACAAACCTCTGTTCTAATATGGCCCTTTCATGGTGCAAGTGTTCAGGATTCGTGATTGGTTGCAATCAGATTTACTTGTGCAATCAGCGACGTTGTTTCAAAAGTGATCATTCACAAGGTCTCGGTAATTTCCGTATGCTTCGGGAAAACTAGAACCTCTTCCCCTGCGCTATGCGCACACGTTTCTTCTAGACAGAACTCAGTCATGTATTTTAGCGGATCAATGGCGTCTCCATCGCCCTCTTTAACAACGGACAATCTAGCCATTAAATGCCTTGTTTGTCACATCAACACAAGTCCCGGGCAGAGGAAGGATATTTGTGGCCCCCACATTTGCTTGTATTAGTCAAGCTGGATCTAAGTCGATGTAACACATGTTCTGATTGGATAGAAAGAAGGGAGATAATTTGTGCTGCGATTTTTTGCCGCTAGGGGATTTTACGAGAACCGGGAAATATGGCCGTATTAGAACAGAGGTTCGTAGGAAGATATGACAAGTAACCTTCATGGGACGAGAATGTTTAAAACAATACTCAATCACTAACCTACTAAACACGGAAACATGCTTACCATCAAGAATTTCATAGATCAAGACAAAGTTGTTCTTGACATTGTCCTCGGAGATCTTGCCGAAGTAGGACTGCATAACTTCCACCATCTTATGGAGGAACTCGAACACCATGGCAGCATTGACATTCTGTTTTGTAACTGCAGCCAGCCAGATGTTGGACTTCTTGATGTGGAAGAAGCTAGTACGGGCAATGTTCGTCACTGGCGACCGAACCTGCTGGCGGGCATGAATAACATTCACACGGAAAGCATCAACTGCATTCCGACTGAAAATAACAGAGGAGTGATTGAGTGAGTGAGTTCAGTTTTACACCACACTCAGCAATATTCCAGCTATATGGTGGCGGTCTGTAAATAATCAATTCTGGACCAGACAAACCAGTGATCAACAGCATGAGCATCGATCTGCGCAATTGGGAACCGATGACATGTGTCAACCAAGCTAGCGAGCCTGACCACCCGATCCCTTTAGTCGCCTCTTACGACAAGCATGGGTTACTGAGGGTTTATTCTAATCCGGACCTTCACGGGTTAAATAACAAACAATCATCAGTGAAAGGGATCATAGGTTGTAAGTCCATTGACCGGTCACAATCACAACTAACCATGCACACCTACATAGCAATTACCATGATGACTGACCTCCGCTACCAATACTGTTTTACTGTCAAACTAATCCATCCTTGAGGCTGGCGACCCGTGAAGATCCGGTTAGAATTGATCTTCAGTAACCCATGCTTGTCGTAAGAAAAGACGGGATCGAGTGGTGAGGCTGACTTGGTTGACACGTCATCGTATTCCAGTTGCGTAGATGGATGCTCATGCTCTTGATCACTGCACTGTCTGATCCAGACCCTATTATTTACAGACCGCCACCATATGGCTAGAATAGTGTTGAGTGCGGCGTAAAACTAAACTCACCAATGTAGGGCTGGCCCTGTTAGGTCCAAGGTTACACCTAACTTTCTCTTTAGATCTTCTTTTGATTGAAATAAACATAACTTTCTGAAGAAAACTCTCTTAGGCCTGAAAAAAATATGTTGTGGTTCCGATTACCCGACCGACCCTTGAATTCTGGTGCCAATCCAATTTTTTTTCAAGCGGTATGAATAAAATAAGCTTTCAGATACCATTGTTTTTTCATGGGCCTCAAGCTTGATCGAATTAACAATTTACTTACCCTAAATTTTAAAGATGTGTAATCAGAACGGGTGCCAGTCAAATCGCCCCAGCTACAAAACGCCCCAGCCAATTTGGTCAAAATGCCCCAGATTTTTGGTCAAATCGCCCCAGGTTTGGTCAAATCGCCCCAGCTACAAAACGCCCCAGCCAATTTGGTCAAAATGCCCCAGATTTTTGGTCAAATCGCCCCAGGTTTGGTCAAATTGCCCCAGGGGGGTAGTCAAAATGCCCCAGTGTATTTAAAATATTTAAATATATGCCATAAATGCATAGTTTTTGTTAACTTCCATATTATATACTTTGTATAATAATATATAGTAATATTTCTGATAGATTTTCTATTAGTAAACTGATAAGAGCAAAAGTAATATTCATGTATAAACAACACTATCATACCAATTATTTGCATGTTATTAATGCTTTTGTAAAGAATTACAAGAATAAAATGAAATGTTTGTATAAAATGTTTATTGGCCGTAAATGCATAGGTTTCTCAACAAGTATGGTATAATGCTAATCAAAACAATCTAGAGCTTTTGTTAATTAATCTTGTCAAACAGTGTGGATAAAAACAGGCTATTAAAACATGTTCACTAATTGACATTCAATGCTGTGTTTAGTTAAAGGAAATGTTGAGGCTCGAATGTATGAGCATTTCAGGCTATAAAAACATATTCACTAATTGACCATCACCTATCGAGATTCAAAAAATGTAATTTTGAACGATTTTAATATCTACAGTCATTTTGACTTAAATTTCGGTAGCAGATTTTGTCTAATCATACATTCTCGTCTCGAACTTGAATGTAGTGACCTTAATGCGCACAAATATGAAAGATTTATATCTCTGACATCATCTTGCTCTTGTGGCCATAACTATGAAGACTCTGCTCATTATTTCTTTTCATGTACTCTTTACAACGATATACGTCAAATTATGTTTTTTTATACTAAAGGATTTGACCTAAAATCAATTTTGTTTGGAAACCAACGCTGTTCCTCAATAGTAAAGAAAGAACTTTTAATTTCAGTGCACTCTTTTATAAATTTAACAGGCAGATTTGATCCCAAAATATTTTGTTTATATGACATATACCGTTTAACAATGATTGGCGTTATTTCTCGTTTTTGCAGCATTTATATATCATTCACATTGTACATTCATCATGACGAGTTTATTCTTCCTTCCATTGTATCCCAGAGCCGTATTCATATAAGCTTATGCTTGTTTACCAATCCGGTTCCTTTCTTTGGAAATAAATATGTTTAAATAATAAATATTATACCATACTAGTTATGATTACATAATGCCATTTGTTGACCAAAAACTATTTACAGCCAATAAACATATTATACAAACCTTTCATTTTACTCTTGTAATTCTTTACCAAATAATTAGTATTACAGTGTTGTCTATACATGAATATTACTTTTGGTCTTATGAGTTTACTAATAGAAAATTTATCAGAAATATCACTATATAATATTATATATAGAATATAACATGGAAGTTGACAAAAACGATGCATTTGTGGCATATATTTAACCAATTTAAATACATTGGGGCATTTTGACTACCCCCCTGGGGCAATTTGACCAAACCTGGGGCGATTTGACCAAAAATCTGGGGCATTTTGACCAAATTGGCTGGGGCGTTTTGTAGCTGGGGCGATTTGACTGGCACCCATCAGAACCACAACATCTTTTTTATTTGGCCTTACCAGAAGGGAAGACAATAAGATAGCTGGAGTTACAATATGTATTAAGATACATTAATCACAACAGGCCTAACCCGCTCAGCCACCGCCACTTTTGAATTTGTACTTTACTGACAAAGTGTAATCCAAAATACAACATATGCTACATTTGACCACTTTCTAAATGGCACTGTGTATTCATGAGCATTGATCTATGCAAATAGGGATACAAGGAAATGTGTCAACCACTGAACCAGGTCAGCAAGCCTGACCACTCCGATCCCCGTTAGTCGCCTCTTATGACAAGCATGGGTTGTTGAAGACCAATTCTAACCCGACTCTTCAAGGGCAGTGGCTGACTTGAATACGAGCAAGTTTCTATTGTCAAGATTCGTTAACATGCATCATATCAAATCATCAAGCTTGTTCACTTGATCCAGTTACAACCCAAATTGTTGCTAGACTAATGTTCGTATATCTGTATGTATACAGATGTATTTCTGTACTACTTATCTACTTGCATTAATTACTGCTTTAAAAAATGAACATGATGAAAACATCTTCTTACCCAATGTCATCTCTGAACACTCGGGAGATAAGGACTTCGCCCTTGTGGTTGTATATAAACAATCCCCCCAATCATATTGCTAGTTCGCCATCAACTGGAAATAGATATCAAATTGACAGTGGCAATATTCGATAAATCAGTTCAACTATTTTGATCATGAAATTCTTCAAAGGCATTTAGAAGTTGGTGTAGTAATACAAGACAAATCTTATGGATAAGATTCTTGCCCCTTCTTCAGGTGAAGAAGGGGCAAGAACTAGCCCAGAAACGTTGTGAAAAATAAACCAAGAAGTTGTTATCCATAAGATTTGTCTTGTATTATATTGATCATGCTAATTAGTCACGTTAAGTGTGTGACACACCATTGAACACTCAGTCGGACTAACAACATTGACAGGTTACGCCCCTTCCTGAATGTGGTTGCATCGTTTGGCAATACTCAGTTAACACACACATCGCCTTTGCATAGAGCATATGTGTCCATCCTATCATAATATTAATTCGTTCTTAATGCAACACATATGACAGGTTTATTCATGAACACCGAACAGAAGAGCAGGTAGCGATGTAATAGCGAACCGGTAATTTATGCGTTGCTCGGTGTATGATGCCCGCGATCACATATTTTACTGATTCTTTCTTGAGATCAGGTAAGATAACTGCGCACAGCATTCATTGAAAAATCGTATTTTTCTCGTCAGGGCTCAGTTTTATTAATGTAACTAAAATACCCTACCTCATTTGCTGCGTCAAGGGGAGGTTCCGCTCGTTCAAGGCGGAATATATCCCACAATTCCCTCACCATATAGTTGTGTGTCGACAAGTGTTATGTATTTGTTTCGAATTTGAAATAAAAGCGTAATATCATTTCAAATGAATACATAGAGTATATTACAGACATATTCTGATTTATGTCTTGTTGACATATGGTTACTTGATAAGATATGCTTTAATATGGAGTAAGAGAGACACATTACTTCCATTGATATAAAGTTTATCGTAAGGGTAATAGTCCCCCGTGGCTTGAGTTTGAGGCTGGGCTCCGGCTGTTTGATTTTGTGTTAGCCGTTAAGAAATTCGCAAGCGCGAAGGCATTTGCCAACCAGTCTTACGGACTTTTCGCAAAAAGCACACATATGTTTAGTTTTAACCTTTTAGCTAGTGTTAATGAGGTAATTTCTTATAATCTGATGTTACAAATAAATATCATAAAAATAACACAACCACTCTAAATTTCCGGTGAAGAGACCCACGTGCCTGCCTCTTTGACTCTAGGCCGCCATCATGCCAGGAGTGAGTTTCATATGCTCGGGAATTTTCTCGCATTTCTGAAAATATCTTGGTTCCTGCTTTTTAAAAACACATTTTACTTAATATCTTATCTAATTGTCTTATTATGTTGGCGTAAAATGATTCATTTCATTATAATAAAGTCAGAATGCATAAATAACACGTGAGCAGCGATATGGTACTGCGGGATGAGATAGGTATTATATTAGTTTAGCTGCTTTGCAATCAGACCAGCAACCAATGAAGAGAAAGAAATGAGTGTTTGCAACACCTGCACAGATACCAAGTTTGCCATTTCAGCAGCAACATATATTAAAAATTCCCAAATATAAAGTTATGAAATGTCGCATTTAGAGATCTATGTTCTTATTTACTGAAGTTGTGAGGTATTTTAATATTGCAGTCGATGTAATAACGGAAAGTTCAGCATGAAAACAAGCCTTGCTGGTTCTGTTGTGCTGATTAGATCCCTCCCCCATTGTGGGTTCAAATCCCAAATGGAATGGGGGTGGGGTGATAAATTTTTAAAGTGTCACACCTAAGTGTGTGTGTGTGTGAAAATATCCACATATTTCAATGGATGTACATCTGAGATTTTTTTATTTCGGAACTCTAGTTCAGGATGCGGAATGACTTCCGCCCGTATCCCCCCTTAAATTTCTAGTCGAATCATATCACCTGAATATATATATTCCTCATCTGGTAAGGATGAGTTTTAGCATTTTCTTTAATTGTATCTTAACATACTGAAAGACATATCCAACTTTTAAAAATGCCTCTCAAAGTAACTTTTCCTCATGGTTAAAAATAGGGGGGATACGGGCGGAAGTCTTGCCCATTAGTTTTCAAGAAAGCATTTGTCTCAAAATTGAAGAAATAGGTGTGGAACATATTTTTACTATTCATCATTGTGGGTGATATTAGGTATCTATGCCACTTGATTGGTGTATTATTGCTTTGCTACCTGGATTATTCATGGTGTATTGCAGCTAGTGCAAAGATATAGATCATAGCTGTGCAAAAACTTAATTTTCACGACACTGATCTGAATAAATTATTGATGAATGCTGAATTGAACATTTTGCAAGCATCTCGTCATGATGAAGCTTTTGTTTCAGAAAGTTACAAAACGCAGCAAAGGTCCCGTAAAGAAGGGGAAGGGCAAAGGCCGCAAGAAGCGAGTCACCCTCCACTATATGGTGGACTGCACACACCCTGTTGAAGATGGCATCATGGATGTAGCAAGCTTTGTAAGTACAAAAGAGGCCATCCACCGTCTTTTCTAGTGCATTGAAAACTAATTCCAGTTCTTAAATCCAACCATTTCAGATCAGTGAAATCCTTTTATGTCAAAATTGGAATGAATGGCATTAAATTAGCTTATCACAAAGCTCTTTGAAGTTTAACTTTTCTTCTGTTTAGTTCAAGTCAATACCAGATTTTTGTTTTGTAGTATGTCACTAAATTGAGTTTTATGAACAAGGCTATTTTAAGTATTTGGGTGTACTAACACATGCTGTGGGATTAGGGTCACCTTCCCTAATCTGATTAGGGCTATCTTCCCTAATCTGTACCGCCATGTCATGGCTTGTGTTTTGACAGGAAAAATACCTCCATGAAAGGATCAAGGTTGATGGCAAAACCAACAACTTTGGCAACAATGTCACACTGGAAAGGAAGAAGAACAAGATTGAACTTACCTCTGAAATCCCCTTCTCAAAGAGGTATGTGTTCGTAGCAACACAATTATTCCAACCTGCGTTCTCAATCCATATACTGGATTTGTGTTATGTCAAGTACATGAACATGTGAAGCCCATTTCTGGTGTCCCCTGCCGGGATATTAATGGAATATTGCGAAAAGCAGCATAAAATTAAACTCAAGTACATGTTATTAAAGTAGTGGACATGCTTTAGAGGGTTAATAACAAGTTACCGAGATACAATTTTGGAATGAATCCTTGTTCGCCCATAATTTTGTCAGCAACGTACCTGTGCTTGTATGATTTACTGAAGACTTAAACATTACTCGAGGTTTTCCTCCTACATCAGATGTCATGCTGTGACATCTGGAACAATTCCATGTAGGATTAAATCCATGTTACCATAAATGCTTTTTGTCTCAGTGTAATACTTCCTACAATTTATACCTTTGCCTTTGATTCTTTTTGTGTCTAGGTATCTGAAGTATTTGACAAAGAAGTACCTAAAGAAAAACAACCTCCGAGACTGGCTCCGAGTGGTGGCCAGTACAAAAGAGGCCTTTGAACTGAGATACTTCCAGATCAACCAGGATGAAGAAGAAGAGGAGGGTGACGAGTAACTTGCGTCTCATTAACAATGTTACTTTGTATCTTGTGAAGGCAATAAAGACATTTATTGCAGCTTTGATTTTGTTACAATATATAGTGGTATCGGTTGTCCATGCAAGTTATCAGTTTGAAAACTATATTTCTTTAAACTTTGCTTGTTTGGTGGGGGTCTGGACGTGAACTCAGGCATTTGATTGCTCAGGATATTTTGAAGAAATATATTTCATGTTTTCAAGGCAAGTTACTTATTCACCAGTTAACAGATTCCTCTGGATGGTTGATTCCGGGTCATGATGCCATAAGCTAGTCCAAGCTGATGATTGACTGGTCTGATAGGGCAGGATCGAATCAATTTGTTTCTACTTTTTATTGAACTTAAATGTCATGATGCATCTGTACTGTTAATGACTTGCATGGAAAATCGAATTCCAAACACAGTAAGACTTCTAATGTCTAGACCTCGTACAGTGGATGCATACTTCTCATTGGATTGTTTAATCCAGACTTACATTTGCAGAGCTGGTAAATTGGTGGGTGTGGCATTAAACATCAAGCAAACCAAACTTGGCATATTGTTGACCTATGGTTGCCCTGCTTGTTTGGTGTGTAATGCAGCTATCAACTATGACTGTTCTCTAAATAGTCACATTTCGAGCAGACTATCCAGTGACTGTAACAAGAATTGACCCAAGTTACTGGGACAATGACATGCATCAAGCAGGACAACCCGGTTCCATAATACTTTTCATCGAAAAGGAGGGTCGCTGAAGACCAATTCCCACCAGGCTCACATGAATAGTGACTTGGTGTAACTTGGCACCCCTTGAAAGCAGCTTCTAAGTGAGTGAGTGAGTTTATTTATATGCTGCTTTTAGCAATAACCCAGCAACAACATTGCGGGGAACACCAGTAATGGACTTCACACATTGTGCACATGTAGGGAATCGAACCTGGGTGTTTGGTGTGATGAGCGGACGCCTTAACCAGGAGGCTACCCCACTGCACCCATAGTGAGATGAAGCTTGTTTTACTTCAGTTAGAACTACAGCTTTACAGTAGGGGAGAATATACGGTCCACGGACTGCAAGACTGGCAGAAGTCCTGTATACCATATGCAGTTACCCTCCGTGTCAGTCCATCTGTACGAAACAGGGAATATACTCTATCCACTTCTCCACAAAAAATGCTCTGTGTAATTCAATGAACTTATACATGGGCTTTCTTGGGACTCTAATTGTGTGCATCTCATATTTTGTTTTTATCCCCCGCAACGCGTTTTGCAGGGGGTATTAAAATGGACTCTGGACTCTGTCCGTGCGTCCGTCAGTCCGTCCGTGCACATTTGTCTTTTCCGGAGCAGAACTCTAAAACCGTTCGATATTTCTTCACCAAACTTGGCACATACATGGATCTGGTGGTGTACTGGTGCCTTTTGGTAGTTTTGGAATTCTGAATAAAACATTTTTGTCATTTCCATGGCAACAAGTTCGACTTTGACTGAAATTGTGGTAGTGCTCTTTTCCGGAGCAGAACTCTAAAACCGTTCACTATTTCTTCACCAAACTTGGCACATAGATAGATCTGGTGGTCTACTGGTGCCTTTTGGTTGTTTTGGAATTCTGAATAAAATATTTTTGGCGTTTCCATGGCAACAAGTTTGACTTAGACTGAAATTGGTGGTTGTGCTCTTTTCCGGAGCAGAACTCTAAAACCTTTCACTATTACTTCACCAAACTTGGCACATAGATAGATCTGGTGGTGTACTGGTGCCTTTTGGTAGTTTTGGAATTCTGAATAAAATATTTTTGGCGTTTCCATGGCAACAAGTTTGACTTAGACTGAAATTGGTGGTTGTGCTCTTTTCCGGAGCAGAACTCTAAAACCTTTCACTATTACTTCACCAAACTTGGCACATAGATAGATCTGGTGGTGTACTGGTGCCTTTTGGTAGTTTTGGAATTCTGAATAAAATATTTTTGTCATTTCCATGGCAACAAGTTTGACTTAGACTGAAATTGGTGATAGTGCTCCTTTCTGGAGCAGAACTTTCAAAACCTTTCAATACTCTCCTTCCACTTTTCTATATACACACCTAAATATTTGACATAATCATAACTCATAGACATAATCATGAAGAGTATTTTGCCATTGCGGGGGATATTGATGACTTTGTCATCTTCTTGTATTTTATTGGGTTTTTTTGCAAGTTTAGAGACATTTGAACTTAGGTAGATTTTGCTGAATTTCTCGATGATAGTTTAATAGGGGATGAAGTCTATCCACTTCTCCACAAAAACTGCTCAACAGAATTGAATGAACTTCTACATGTCTTTCGTAGGGACTCTAAAGGTGTGCATTTCATAATTTTTTATGCAATTTCTTAATTTTGTCACTTTTACAGATGTTTGAACTTTGTTGAATTTTGTTCTATTCAGCCTGTTCGTTCCATCCAACAGGGGGTGTATGTTATCCACTTCTCCTCAAAATCTACTTTATGGAATTCATTTAGATTACACATGTGCTTTATAGGGACTCTAAAGGCGTGCATCTCATATTTTGATTTTGTATTTTATTTATTTTTCAATTTTAATACCGTTTTCATAAATTTTGTTGAATTTCTCTCTGAATATAGTGTTATAGGGGATGAAGTCTATCTACTTCTCCACAAAAGCTGCTCAACAGAATTGATTGAGCTTCTACGTGAGTTTCATTGGAACTCTAAAGGTGTGCATCTCATACCTTGTTCATCCAATTTCTTAATTTTGTCACTTTTACAGATGTTTGAACTTTGTTGAATTTGGTTCTATTCATCAGGTGTGCATCTCATACCTTGTTCATCCAATTTCTTAATTTTGTCACTTTTACAGATGTTTGAACTTTGTTGAATTTGGTTCTATTCATCAGGTGTGCATCTCATACCTTGTTCATCCAATTTCTTAATTTTGTCACTTCTACAGATGTTTGAACTTTGTTGAATTTGGTTCTATTCATCATGTTTGTCCCATACAACAGGGGGTGTACTTTATCCACTTCTCCTCAAAAACCACTGCACAAAACTCATTTAGCTTACATATGTCGTTTTTGAGACTCTAAAGGTGTGCATCTAATATTTTGTTTTTGTATTTTATATATTATTTTTATGTTCAGAGACATTTGAACTTAGATAAATTTTGTTGAATTTCTCTCTGATGATAGTGAAATAGGGGATTAGGTCTGTCCACTTCTCCACAAAAACTGCTCAACAGAATTGATTAAGCTTGTGTTTCATTGGGACTCGAAAGGTGTGCATCTCATGGTTGCATAGATGTTTATTGAACTTGTTCGTGAATTTTGTTCAATTATTGATCTTTATATGATGATAGGTTGTGTTATCTAACCCCTCAACACATTGTTTATTAGTGTTTTCAAGTGCTTCAGTGGGACCCTGAATGTGTGAACTCCTACAGCAGCGGGGGCATCCGTGTCCCTGGACACAATTCTTTCTTGTTATGGATGATAATGCCTGAGAAAGAGGTTTTAACGATGTTGTTTAGATCAACATCACACATATGGACTGGCCTGCAAGGTCACTTGATCTTAATCTCATTGACCATGCTTGGGACATCTTTGGAAGTCCTGTTTACGGTTTCCATGTTCACCACCGGACTCTGGATGACCTTGAGCAGGCGTTACAGAGAGAATGGCAGAACATTCCACAACAACAACCTTAAAGGCTCATTTGGTCAATGTAAAGACGTGTAGAAGCTTGCATTTGTGCTCATGGTGGTCATACGCGTTACTGAACACTGCTTCACTGTCCAAAACTGACTTGAAGCTTAATGTTAGCATGTTGCTCCATCAGTGCAGCACATTTTGCACGACTGTTTCACGGGTACATACTTTTGATGATTTGTTAATCGTGTGTACATATGTTTCACCTTTCCATTGCATCATTCCATGATTTGCAATTTCAATAAATATAAATGTAATGAGACTAAAGATTTGTGTTGCTTAACTTTTTGTGAGGAGTTTATTTCCAATCCACAAGCATCTTGTATCTCAGCTGATGTGATTTGTTACTAACTGGGTACAATGTGTTAAGGCATATTTGATGTCCCTCGCTGTGATAATGCTGGAATATTGCTTACAGCAGCATAAAACTAGAGTCACTATCTGGAAACTGTTAGAATGCAAATTTAGGCAGTTGTGACAAAGGTCAGCGGGTTCTACGAATGTAGTTTTCCAGTGAAACACTGGTGTTGTGTATCCCACTGGAGGTTATTTTGTACTATCAACAAAAAGAATTCAGCATTCTTTACTCCAGTAATTAATTATGTCTGTGCAAGTTCTGCAGGAGGAAAATGCAATCGAAAGAAATATATTTGACAATTGAAAGGACAAATGTATGTGAACTACTAAATTGTGAAGAATATATATACACGATAATTTCGTTAAGCCACCCCTGACATCTCTCACGATTGAATGAGCCCAGATCTTAACCCTTGGGCGCATATCTGGGACATGACTGGTCGTCGTGTGCAACAAATCACAGTGGCGTGTCACGCTTAGAAACAGCTTTAGAAAGACATATAGGTATATAGACCCTACCCTATAATAGTACTATATATAGTACTAGGGTAGGGTCTATATACCTATATGTCTTTCTAATGTTTCTAAGCGTGACACGCCCCTGTGCAACAAATGAGATCCTCCTGTACAGAACATGGCCCAAATGGAAGCTGCTTTACACAAGGAATGGCGGAGACTGCCCCCTCAGAGGACCAGGAGGCTGACAGTCAGTGGGTATGAGGAGAGTGCTGGCTGTCATACAGTCACATGGAGGTTACACTCGGTATTGACCATGAATCGTGTAAGGCGCAAAATGGCATTTTGAATGTTCACATTCACCAATAAATTCAACATTGAACATTCCAGGGCCATACTTGTACAGACATGGTTTTGTATGACAATCAGTGTGTTAAATGAGCAATTATCGTCATAAAATCAACATGGATTGCAGTCATTGTGTCTTTTTTATGAGTCCGAGGATCAAACGGGTCAGAAAAACTCATGTTTTCCATCGTGGTCAACACGAGAAGTTTTATGTAGGTTATTAGAACCACTGTAGATTTTCATTTGAGGACTGGTTACGAAAGTCATAAGGCCATTATTCGCGGATGCAGGGGAGATAACTCTTCGCGGTCTCTTTCTCTTGGTTACGGATGATCAATATGCAAACCTGTGATGGAGAATGTGAGATTCGCCTATTGTTATGCATTTCTGTGATTTGCTTGTCGACACAGATTGTTAAACAATTGCTATGGCCAAGACAGTTTTCAGCTGTTAAGATACTCTTTGGAATGCTTCAGTTAAGAACCAGACGAAAAGGATTTCTTTGTTTTGGAGATTTTCCAAGTACTTTTTGTGTATTAGCATGAAGTAGTTGTTATGGAATGCAAAGCAGTGAGACTAGGATAAGCCACACAACGCTAATGACGTGTATATGTGTGTCTGACACCTCTACATCAATGTTGTGAAGGAGCATGAGTGGAATTGAAGAGGTATTTATCGACCATGACCTGGAACACCAATGAATGTGATGTACCAGTCCTAATTCGTCCAATGCCCCATGTGGAAGCAATGCGGCGGCAATATAGACTTGAGTCCGACAGTGACACCAGAAGGAGGCGGCGGACAGTTGGTCTGAGGGAATGTCGTCCCATCAGACGTCCTTTCACCACAGGCAGGGATGTCTGGCGTGGTGCAGGCTCCGAGAAGACCGCAACTTTAGGTCATGGCGTAGTATTGGTCAGATAAAAGTCGCTATCTAGTACACGTTACCGTCGGCTCCTTCCGCATAGGACCCGTGAAGATCCGGGTTAGAATTGATCTTCAGTAACCTATGCTTGTCGTAACAGGCGACTAACGGGATTGGGTGGTCAGGCTCGCTGACTTGGTTGACACATGTCATCGTGTCGCAATTGCGTAGATTGATGTTCATGCTGTTGATCACTGGATTGTCTGGTCCAGACTCAATTAATGACAGACCGCCGCCATATAGCTGGAATATTGCCGAGTGACGTCATAACGAGGCATATATATGATCCCTGCAGCTGAACCCTTTGCTGGTGGCTCATTCGTCTTGTGGGGTTGCATTGCGTATGACTGCAAGTTTGGTCTCATTACAGTACCTGGGACACTCCGTGTTCAACGGTATCAAGTACCGGATACCGCCGTCGTGGTACATATTGATAGCCATCTTCTTGCCAGTCGTCCGATATTCATGGATGACAAGGCTGGACCTTAACGTTCTCGACCCATTTGCAGAACACCGCCATTGAAACATTACCATGGCCGGTAAGGAGCTCCAATTTGAACCCTTCCCAGCAAGATAGCCTGATCAAATTCCGCAGGCATTGTGGAATGACAGGATTAGACTTGCGAGGTGTGCCTACACCAGGGACTGATGTGGCCGCCAGTGGTGGTTCATACAGTCACAACAATCATTATTTAAGAACTGTGTGCCAATCAGATTGTGGCGTAGTTGGCAGAATTTAGTTTTCAAAGCATACACAACAACTTGCAGGATTTTCTTTCTTTTCATATTATGCTCATGTATGTAGATGTTTATTACGCGAGTTTGTTCTAGGATGAGGTATATCCTGTATTAGAAATACACATTTTTTATCGAGCCATGGCAATTAGACGGGGAGTGACAACAGTCAAATAGTTCCCACGGAATCCGAGCGATGGGGTAGCCCAGTGGTTAAAGCGTTCCCTCCTCACGCCAAGGCCGGGTTCGGGCCCATTCTGGTGTCACCTGCCGTGTAATTGCTGGAATAATTCTAAAAGCGTGTAAAACCGAACTCGCTCCAACCGAAGCCTGTTACATAGGTATAGGCGGAACATCAGCTAAATCGCAACTGCCTGAGCACATTGATCCTGTATTTGCCCTTCGCGGCAACCAATTCGGTCCACTCGCGAGAGTCGAGTTCCTTCGTCAAAGAGAGTCTACTCTAACCCTGGTGATGGAAGCGTTTGTTTGAAGTCAGTCTGCCCTATCACACCGTTACCAAGTGCAGCGTGAGATTTACACACAACGAAAAAGTTAAACAAGGTTAGAATTCCGACATATTTCGGGTAAATCCAACTGTTCAAAACTGGGGCGAAAATGTCGGATATCGAATCGTTCTACCAAGGCAGCTGATCCAGTTTATCTCGACTCCTACGTAAATCGTTCATCAATTTATGTCCAAGTTTCCTCCGACATTAGGTGCATCAGTTTTGTCCCACCATGATTGTAAGTGTAGTATATTAGATCTGTGTATTCATAATGATTACCGTTTTCCCATGAGTTTCTCAATATTCCCAACGAGTAGCTTGGACTCAGTCGCCAAATGACATACTTCCCTACCCAGAGTTCTATGCTAAGTCATCAGTGCACCGGACAATTGCAATACAAAGTTTGTAAGCACTGGCGTTATGCTGCCGAGAAGCCTGTACATCGATATTATCTGATACTTTGCGATGATACTTCTATGGTGTGATCAACGTACCACGCCGAAGGTGTACGATGACATGCCGCCAACCTCGTCAAGGAGAAATACTTATCAGTAGATTGTACAACAAAGTGTATGCTATGTATAATGTGAACTTGCCTTACGCCCCAAAGTGTCTCTTCTTCCCTCCACTGTATAACCCTATTTAAGAAACATACGTTCATGCTCAAGTAGGTGCATTGCAAAATCATGAAACGAACCATACGCCCGACGTGCATTAATGTCCTTCTGTGATGAACCAAGGCAATTCTCTCTTTTCCTACCACTACATCGATTTGCGAAGTGGTGTATTTCAACAGATAATGCAACACTGGTTAAACCATGATGTTCCTTGGTTAAACCATGATGTCGTGGCCGAGGAACCTTGTCTATTTTCTACTTATAACTGCCGGTAAAAACAGTAACCACACTCTCTTTGAACGCAATCGTTGTACAGCCATCATTTCGACTGATGGATTAAAACCATTAGAAGACGCATTTTTCTTGAGTAAATTATTTTGAAAGGTTAATGGCAGCAAGTTTCACAGCCATAAGGACCACATCTCGGGGATATTAGCCCCAAGAGAAAAGGTCAAAGTAAGACGGCCTGAAAGTTTCTCAGCAGTGACGCAGTATTCTTTGTGTTTTCTTGTCCAACTCTGAAAAAAGGTCAGTAAAAACAATCAAATTAGCATCCGTTTACCTGATGATGGGGCCAGAACAAGCCCTGAAACGTTGTACTCGAGAATAAAAAGAAGATGTAACCCAGAAAAATCTCTATGTTCATCAAATATCATCTTCTAAAATGCCAATCAAGCATCAAACTAGGTTTATACACGGAAAACTCGTGTGGCTTTAACTAAGTTGTGTGTACCAGGGAAGATTCGGGTTATAATAGATCTGCGGTCTGTACATAAACTGTGGACCAGACAGTGCAGTGATTTACAGCATTAGCATCAATCTTCGCAGTTTGAATACGATAACACAATCAACCAAGTCAGCGAGCATGACCAAGAAAGGGATTCAGAGGAATAAACTGGTGACATAGGTTAAAGCACGATGGGCTCCAAGCCCTCACCATCGCGTTTTGACGCTGAAGCAGACACAACAGTTGTGTTGTTCTATTAGAACAAACCCGTGAAGATCCGGGTTAGAATATTGATCTTCAGTAACCCATGCTTCTCGTAAGAGGCGACTAACGGGATCGGGTGGTCAGGCTCGCTGACTTGGTTGACTCATGTCATCGGTTCCCTATTGCGCAGATCGATGCTCATGCTGTTGATTACAGGACTGTCTGGTCCAGACTCGATTGTTTACAGACCGCCGCCATATAGCTGGAATATTGCTGAGTGCGACGTAAAACTAAACTCACTCACTCTATTAGAACAATGCACAAATCTGTTTACGTCATTCGACTTTGACCCCATTGAACATCCTCCCCTATTCACCAGATTTGAGACCTCTTCCCCAACGTGAACTATTGTCATGAAATATACAAGTGACGATAACGTTGTTTCTGTTGTGGGTTCAGTGGGATCAAGGTACCACAGCATCGTTGGCAAAAGTGATTGTGTTAAAACATATATCAACCATCTCCATCAGCTCAGTCCATCAAACTCGGGCGTATGGCATTTCAGCGACCGCACACCTATGTCCAGGGTCGATGCTCACACTATCGACCCCTATCAATGATGCAGTGCTCCTTTCACTAAGGCATCCTCGTTATTCCAGTTCTTTCCTTGGGATTTCTTATTTACTGGTACCTAGTATTGCAATGTTCCTTCGATAATGTGCGTCTCACCAGCACACGAATATGTCATGATCAAAGCCTATATTCGTGATCTCAATATAGGTAGCTATGTCATATATAAAGTATATACGTTCACAGTCTTTGTGTAACCTGGCAAATCCTGGTGTCACCTCTACAGACACAAAAAGACAAGACAAAGTCGTTTCAAAGCGTTGAAAGTTTAATACAAAATCTTACTATCAATGATAAATTTGTATACCTTGGAACAACAGAAAAATGCTATGTACAATGACATGGACAGATTTTGCCCATTACTTAAGACAATAGTTACATCTACATACACAAAGCACTGTGTGATATCCATGGAATTGAAGATATAACTGAAGATATAAACAATGGTATATATAATGAAAAAGCGTTTACACTGAAATGTAGGTCAAGGCTGGCCGTACATCAAGGGCTGGTCAGACGCAGAGATTTTCACAACAGAAACAGGGAAGAAACTTTTCAAAATTTCCCATAAGACCACAGGACCAGTGAGTGGACAATAATTAGTGGTCCTGTCTGTACTTCACTGGACCAAAATAACATTCGGAGATTTACTGAACTATCAATACAAATTTCACTGGCCAGTAGTATAAGGAGAAATACACAACTGAAACTCAAAACGAATGCATATCCATTACACATGTCGAACCCTGTCAATGTATAATAATTTCGAATTGATTGTCAAAATAATGGGTGAGATTTATGAATATGAACCAAAGTGTGTATTCAAATGTATTAGATGGTATTTCATGATTTGTGGTGTTTTAAACTAGGGGCAAATACGCACGAATATGTATCTGTTGGGTACATTATACAGAAGCCCTCCTACATGTAACAAACGGCCTTTATACAAAAGTGTCAAAACACTTGACATAAAGTAACGATTCTCCGAACACCTCAGCTGGAAAACGTATTATCTGAGGCATCCACACCGTGAGACGTTTTTGATTGTTTTCGGATGGGCCTGTCTGCATCCGTTACAAATATTCATATAGTCAGTATGTCCATGACCTTTGCGCTTTTCAGTAAGAGCTTTGTTTCTAAACCTCTTGTTCAGAATGTACCTTGGACACAACTTGACATAATCACATGCACTTTGATAAAAATATAATATATTCATACATGCCCTGTACAATACGATGTCTTTTTACACATATTACAATATGATAACGTAAAAAGGCTAGCTTAAATTTCTATATGGAAATTGCACATTTAGTACGGCTCATGCTTATAAAATCTATTGCAATCATACATAGTTATTCTATAGCATGCCTACGAAGCACTAGTCTCAATACATTCTACATTCTTGTGTGACGTCAGTCAAGTACTATTTCACAATAACTATTTTTCTGTTTTCGTGTAGTCATAAATATTGTCGTGTAAGAAAGTTAATATTGTTTCATTTATGTAAAATTGTCTTAAACACTTGACAGTATTTGGGTTTGCTTTCAATTAAATATCAATCCGTTTTACTATCGATACCTGCAGAAACGTTGATTTGCAGTCCAGGTACATAACTTTGGTCGCGTCGACTATATCACACTACCATTAATCAACATTCATTCACAGGTTACAATATTAACATGCGTTTGTAAATATCTGAATATCGTAGGCTCCACGCAACATATCTCTCCTACTTTACAGTGATACAATGATGACATGAACAGTATTAACTGACTAGAACCAAATTGATTAAAAAGACCAGATCTCATTTTCACAGGCAGGAAAGTTTGGAAATGTAATCATAAGAAGCTATTCAATTCTGGTTTTTCTCCCGAGATTAATTAAAATAAACAATTGATTAAAACGCATAATGTATAGAACATGGTGCTCCTTGAACGGGCACCGGAAGTTAAAAAAATAACATTCAAATACTAGTATATCCTCCTTCACTGAGATCCGATTTCGATAGAACAGCTTCAAGCAATGACACATTGAGATAATTTCCAAAGAAGGCAGTGTTGTACTTTTTCGTGTCATACTAAGACACTTGGTACCCACAACATAGACACAGAAACGGAACACATACAAAGTATTCGCTGTCCGAAAGAGATCCTGAAAACGTGGTTGTCAAGAAGCAGTGACAACATAGGGCAGTGTGAGCGTCTTGTCCACGAGGACAACATCAACAGCTGCTGAGGTTGTACAGTTCTCAGTGCCAGGTTACATTGCCCTTGTAAATTATGCCAGTTGAACAAATATCACGCGACGGTCAGGATTTCACCTGTGATATCACATGCCATCGACAGACGCAATACATGTATAAATAAAGACTTCACTTCCACTATATGTCATACAAGCAAGACGCACAGAGTCAGCAACAGTAATATCTTTTCCGAACAACTCATTTGTTCATTTGTACAATTACTCCCAGTGCCATATATATTTTCTCGTGGCTAAATTATCAACATGCATACATAATGTTCAAATACAATCTCATACTCCCTTGACTTGTACAACAAGTGTATACGTCAGACACTGTTCTGTGTTATGTGGCAAGACACCTGTAAGTGATGTACATATCTCCCAGGCACTGCTGTCTTCTTGTCTCACTATTTCTCTCTATTACTCAATTACTGGGGATTGATGTTCTTTGAAGGTAGCGTACTTGAGGAGAGTTTCGTGACTTCAGCATTACATCTAAACGGATTAGACATTACGGCCCATCTCTGTTTCTAAACTGACATGATATACACACGCCTACATTTCTGTGATTGAACTGTGTTCTGGATATTTTATATGAAAAGTAAGCGTCAGTAAATAATGTCTGTTAGTTTCGATCTGGTTACTGGACATAAATCGTAAATGTCTCTGTGGTTCAGCTGATGGCAACAATAGAATGAACATACACGTGAACACTCTCACACAACACACATCCGCGTTCAATGAGTGAATGGTTTAGGGTTGTGGCGCCGCTTTAGTGCTTCGTTTAACGTCCTTGCATGTCCACTTAGTGGAAGTCCACAGACAAATACAGCAGAGCAGGAGTATGTCATTATCGTGAAGGCTGTACAGGGGATTCCGAGGTTCCAGCCCAGAAACTGGAATCTGGCAGCACGACTCTGGACAATCAATTGACGAGCCGAAGACCATCCTCCGACTAGTTCTCGAACTTGAAGTTCTACACGACGAAGATACCATACCATACCACTTAAAAGTTCTTGTCTTGATGAAATGACAACAGGAATAGGTACGGTAGATTTAGGGGTATGGAAACTGAGCACATCTTATTGATATCGTACTTACACAAACACCGTTATTGTAACCAGATACAGTTTGCGGTCATTCTGTGGTTTCTCAAACTATATCGTATAGTTTTAAAATATATTTATGATTTTACGTGCGTGTGTTGTGGCTGCACGCATCTCAGCAGAATTCGGTGGCGTGTTCGCTTGACGAGGGAGTCAAACCCGATGTGAATTATCGGTCACATACGTTTACCAAGCACAGGTATGGCATAGACCAGTGCTCGTTTCTGGAACACGATTCAACGTTCAGCGGATCCGTGCAGGGCTGAGAGGTACAACTCCGCCTTACACCACTGTGTCCCCGTACATTTGTTCAATGTTTTGTAAGTTGGCAGGTTGCTAGACAGGAAGACATTGGCACATGTGATTCATCTTATACATAAACAGTCAATCTCGCATCCTCCAACACCAGACATACGTTTCTGGGAATTATGAAATAATTCGATGTTTTGGTTACGATGTTTTGAACACACGATTGTGGATGTTAAAATAACTGCCCAGGTTTTTCTAGTAAGTCTTAGCACAAATGCCTAGGTCAGCGTGTCTGAGACAGTGTTGCCTCATGGCTCCTTGTTCTGCCTCGGAATGGAGCCCATCACCACATATCGCTCCTCCTCCTCAGGTGGTTTCTCGGAACAACAGCCATCCTTCTCAGCAAGAGCTGCTTTTAAGTTCTGGAGGTTTTCTAGACTCTCGTACAGGTTTTCCACTTGTTCCCCATCAGAGCCCATTGCACTGCAGCAGGGAAACGGCTTTGGAGGACAATCATAGTCACTGACCTTCCTCGTGCGTACCACATCGTACGCCCCCTCCATCCCCGACAGCATGACGTTGGCCCCGTACGTGGGGTTGCTGAGACTGAGGGAGGGGGGGATGTCGTACTGGTTCTTTGGAACATCATCATCCAGGAATTTCACTTCCGTTGCTCTCTCCCCGTCGTCTGAATCTTCGTGGCCTTCCGTGAGTGGTCGTGTTACTTCGCCGTAGTAAGGGTTCTCGTACACAACTCGCGGCAGGTCCTCTTGGTCCGACTTCTTGCGTCTACAGACAGAAATAATATGTATGAAACATAAAAGGTTTCTTTGAATATTTCAGTGAAATTATCCCACTTCAAGCAGAGTCTCAGGAATATTGGTTAATATAAGACAATAAACACAATGTCACATGAGTGAGGGGTTTAATTGAACGCATTGAACAGTACCTCAGGAATATTGGTTAATTTTAGACAATAAACACAATATCACATGAGTGAGGGGTTTAATTGAACGCATTGAACAGTACCTCAGGAATATTGGTTAATATTAGACAATAAACACAATATCACATGAGTGAGGGGTTTAATTGAACGCACTGAACAGTACCTCAGGAATATTGGTTAATATTAGACAATAAACACAATATCACATGAGTGAGGGGTTTAATTGAACGCATTGAACAGTACCTCAGGAATATTGGTTAATGTTAGACAATAAACACAATATCACATGAGTGAGGGGTTTAATTGAACGCACTGAACAGTACCTCAGGAATATTGGTTAATATTAGACAATAAACACTATGTCACATGAGTGAGGGGTTTAATTGAACGCATTGAACTGTACCTCAGGAACATTGGTTAATATAAGACAATAAACACAATATCACATGAGTGAGGGGTTTAATTGAACGCACTGAACAGTACCTCAGGAATATTGGTTAATATTAGACAATATACACAAAATCACATGAGTGAGGGGTTTAATTGAACGCATTGAACAGTACCTCAGGAATATTGGTTAATATTAGACAATATACACAAAATCACATGAGTGAGGGGTTTAATTGAACGCATTTAACAGTACCTCAGGAATATTGGTTAATATTAGACAATAAACACAATATCACATGAGTGAGGGGTTTAATTGAACGCATTGAACAGTACCTCAGGAATATTGGTTAATGTTAGACAATAAACACAATATCACATGAGTGAGGGGTTTAATTGAATGCACTGAACAGTACCTCAGGAATATTGGTTAATATTAGACAATAAACACTATGTCACATGAGTGGGGGGTTTAATTGAACGCATTGAAGAGTACCTCGGGAATATTGGTTAATATTAGACAATAAACACTATGTCACATGAGTGGGGGGTTTAATTGAACGCATTGAACAGTACCTCAGGAATATTGGTTAATATTAGACAATTAACACAATGAGTGAGGGGTTTAATTGAACGCATTGAACATCATCACGTGTCAGTATAATGTGGGAGAAAGGCCTGATACAGGACTTCGAAATTTTATACTTTGGTGAAACCAGTGGGTATGATGCTGACAATCCTAGAAACAAACCAGGAATCGAACCCACAAACGCTTTCACCCATGCCCCGAAATCAGTTACTGTCGCAAATGACATTATCATTTATCAGTTATTTCTGATTTGGCGGTTCAAATGTTTTTGCTTTCTTTTTCATACACTAAACTCACCGTCTGACGAAGAAGAACGCCCCCAGACACACGCCAATCAGCAGTCCAAGCAGGACAGCCAGGATGAGTCCGATCATCGTACCTGTGATAGAAAATATACACTTTCAGACTAGCTTCGTCACACTAGCTCACAGGTAATGCTTATAACAGGTGAGGTGAAATTGGGTTTAACGTCGTGCTTGAGAATATTTCGCTCATATGACGACGTGCATGTGTGTGTATGTGTATGTGCGGCTGCTTGTACTAGCCCAGACTGAAGCTGGTTTTATAGTGCTAGCTCACTGAGATACCATGCCGCAGTGAAGCATGAATACCCCACTCAGACACATTATACTGACTCCGAGCCGACCAGTCCTTGCTGTACCCATTAATGTCGAGCGCCAGGCAGGGACCATGAAGTACCATACTTTAACATCTTGTGGTATGGCGCGGTCGGGGATCGAACCCGCAACCTTCCGCTCTCCAGGCGGACGCTCTAACCACTACACCACGGAGGCAATGTGCTTATAATACACTGAAGTGGGTGAGTGAGTTTATATTTACGCCGCACTCAGCAACATTCCAGCTATATGGCGGCGGTTTGTAAATAATCGAGTCTGGACCAGACAATCCAGTGATCAACAGCATAAGAATCGATCTGCGCAATTGAGAACAGATGACATGACTCAACCAAGTCAGCGAGCCTGACCACCCGATCCTGTTAGTCGCCTCTTACAAGTATGGGTTACTGAAGATCAGCTCTAACCCGGATCTTCACGGGTCCAATACACTGAAGCAGGACACACTTTGAAGTTGACTATATCCATGTATTACTGTCAGCAAATAATTTCCTGAGTCTGAGTTGACCACTGATGGCCTATACATGTCTCTAACTCAGTCATATATCGAGACATGGATATGCATGCTACAACTGTTGTGGCACCAGATGACAGTTAATGTTTAGTGTTCTTACCTGTAGTCCAGCTAGCTGGCTCGGTTGGTTCTATCTTCTTTACTTCGCTCAGTTGTCCTGTATTCCGAAATACAGTTTAATGTTATTTCATTGAATATTTACATTGTATCATTGGAGGTCTAAGGAGCTGTATGCAGACTTTACAATATTTCTCAATAACCCTTCACATGTGAAGACTATATCAACAATTGTTTCGGTATGGATCTATAGATTTGACATTATAGTTGTCGCATGATCAAAAGGCAGACATGAAAAATCATGCCAAACTGTTTCCATGGAAACGAAAGTCACGGTCAGTGTGGTGTTAATGTTTGTCAGGATGATTGTCAAAAATTGACCACTGAGGTAGAATCAGGGAAATACACTGACCGATGACATTGACCTGTGGCCTCTCTGTGGTGGAGGCCAGTGTCGACTCGGTGCTCTCAGCTGTGGTGCTTCTCATCTTGTTAGCTGACTGAAGGTTCGTCTTCTTCTCCAGGGGTTTGATGACCACGTAGGTGATGGTTGAATTTGGAGGGCTTTCGGTTGTTGGTTTCGGTGTCGTTGTGGGTGTTGTTGTCGTTGTTGTAGTGGTTGTTGTAGTTGTAGTCGTTGTGGTGGTGGTCGTTGTCGTACTGGTTGTGGTGGGTACCATATCTGGAACAATTAATAATCAAGTTATTATTCTGTGCGTAATATTTAACCCAGAATTGGGTACTCGTTCACAGCTCATTTTATATTCAAATTTCTTAATCTAGTTATTCAGCCCCAACAGCCACAGTCTGAGTGAGGACTTCTGTAAATCTTCAGGCTGCTGTAAGACAGTTTATGGTCGACGACCAAATACAATTGTTGAATTTCCTACATACAGTAGTTCAATTTATCGAAAACTGTGGTCATAACGAACTCACAGGGACCTATAATTTTAGTTCGTTATAACCGCCCTTCGTCATGCACATATAGCAAGTGGCCTGAACACACACAAAAATTGTTACATCCGCCAGCTTGTTGTAACCGTGACGTAATAAACGTATATTACGGTACCCAAAGACAGACCACTTAGAACCCGTGAAGATCCGGGTTAGAATTGATCGTCAGTAACCCATGCGTGTCGTAAGAGTGAGCTACTGAAGATCAATATTCTAACCCGGACCTTCAGGGGTAGCGTGTCGTAAGAAGTGACTGACGGGATCGGTTGGTCAGGCTCGCTGACTTGGTTGACACATGTCATCGGTTCCCAATTGCGTAGATCCATGCTTATGCTGTTGATCACTGGATTAAGACTCGATTATTTACAGACTGACGCCATATAGCTGGGATATTGCTGAGTGCGGCGTAAAACTGAACTCACTCACTCAGACCACTTAACTACGTAAACCTTCGTCCTCATCTTTTTATGGACAACATGTAGACGTGTGCTATTACTGCTGCATAGAGAGCAGGAACATGTACTGAAATAATCTGCAGTTCACCTTTCCATTGTTAAATCAGTAAATACGTTAGTCTTTACGATTCACAAGTGATGTAACATTGATATGTAGGAATGACGTCTATACCTGAACCGACAGCTAGCAAGATGATCGATACCAACCTATATAGATATGAATGTCTTCATCATAATCATCTTGAGTATAAAGTGTCAAACTGCAGGTGTATACTCACTGTACTCGCAGACGTAGCTGTAGTGGAAGGCGAGACCGTCACACTTGTAGTCGTGCCATCTACCGCCGTCATCAAGTCGGATCTGTGCACAGTCCTCCATACACAAGATATGGCAGCTGGGTTGACCTGGCGCCCAGAAGCTGAAGCCCACTCCCTCACCTACAATTACACTCAGTCTTAATCCCAGCTTCAACAGAACCAAACAACTCCATATAAATTGGACCCCTGAAGATCCGGGTTAGAATTGATCTTCAGTTACCCATGCTTGTCGTGAGAGGCAGTTAAACAGGATCGCTTGGTCAGGCTCGCTGACTTGGTTGACACATGTCATCGTATCCCAACTGCGTAGATCGATACTCAATCACTGGACTGTCTGGTCCAGATTCGATTACTTATAGACCGCCGCCATTAGCTGGAATATTGAGTGCGACAAAAAACTAAACTCACTCACTTATTCACATAATCTCTGAAAACAAACAGTTTCAACAGATCCAAAAGCTCCATATATATTGAAATGGAGCCCCAGTAAATCTACACTTGTTTCATTTAGGGATTTTTTACTGCAGAAAGGGGCGGGTGGAAGGGAACGAAAATGGTTCTGGGACTATGAGACAGATTAACCTATCGTTTGTCGTAGCGTTTGCTTTATGTTGCTTCTCACTGGGGATGTAGGACTGATGCATGACTGTATACAGTTATTAGAAAACAAACTCAGAAATTACACACCACGAGGTTAATATCAATATTAAACCATATGTCATATTAGTATGAAATAACACTGGTGTGTTTGTTTGTTGGTTGGTTAGTTGTTAACGCCGCACACAGCGATATTCCAGTTCTATGGTGGCGGTCTGTAAATAATTGAGTCTGGACCAGACAATCCAGTGATCAACGGCATGAGCAACCATCTACGTAATTGGGATAATATGATGACATGCGTCAACCAAATCAGCGAGCCCGACCACACGATCTCGTTAGTTACCTCGCACGACAAGCAGAAGGTTGCTGAAGACCAATTCTACACGGGTAGAAATATTACTATGTGTATCAAGTGATGTACTTCTGCAAGCTTGCAGCAAATGCCCACTACTCATCAGGCAGGTGGGGGGACTGTGCTACTCCCTATACACTATTCTGACTTGTCTCCACAGAGTTACAGACTGTTCCAGTGTTATCCTATACCCCAGATCCAAATCAGCATAACACTTTATGTGCTTCAGAAAGTGCTTGCGTCGTGATAAAACGACAAGGGCAACATGATTCACTTCCTATAGCACTTACGATCAAACACCAGTATGTATATTTCAGATGACGCAACAACACGTTTCTTGTGCAGTTGGAAACCAGACCTGCAACGATTTTTATCGGTCAATGCGCTTAGCAATGGCGGCCCCAAATCCGTACCTTCGCGATGATCCAAACCGATAAGGACGAGGAAAGTTGCATGAAAGTACACATATTTGAAGGCAAGAGTTTTAGAAAGTGAATTGTGTTTGAAGTTTTCGTGGGTTAACGATTCATGAAGATTCTGGAAGGGGTTGTTAGTACGGGATGTTCCGATACAGGAATCTGTTACGAAAACGCCATTGATCGGGGTTGTAGCTCTGTGCGGCGACATGTCAACATCAAAGTCTACTATAGAGAGCAGCCTAGAGATTAGAGGTTTGACGATACAGAAATTTCACGATACGATACGTATCGCGATATCTTGGAACGATATGATTCGATTCGATGCATATCACGATATGCTTATTTTCCTTAAAAAATCCTATTTTAATAGCAAGAAATTTTGACATAACCATCAATATCTAGTGAAAATTAACAATGTTAAGGTCAACGATACAAATCACGATACGAAAAAATGTATCGATATATTTATCGTTAGATAAGTATCACGATTATCGATACTACGATTTATCGTCACAGCTCTACTAGAGATGCGGTTACCATGTATCGGTAGGCTGATGCAGAGAGTGAATATTGTTAAAAGCGGCATCAGCAATTCGCAGCAGCGCTGATTTGGAAGATGCATATCTGCGGTGTGCAGAGGAGCGTGCGCGGTTAAATATCTCGCAAGCAGAAATTGACCGCAACTTTACGAGCGCTTCAAGCTATTACTGATCATTTACCTGTGATCCATTCCCATCGCATCTCTCTTGACAGGTCATTGGCGCCAATCCAGACGCCATTTGTCCTCCAGTGGAGGTCTCTCAGTGACCTCATAATGAACTGCTGGGTGTCCATGTCCTTGACGACCACGAGGTGTCCTCCCCGCTGCCTACAGTCTCTGTTGGCGGCTCCCCAGTACTTCTCATACCTCACAAACTGGTAGCACTTCTCGCCAAAGCTTTTGAGGTAGGGGTTCCTGGACAGGTTTGTAGGACATCTGGACAGATCGGCTGTAAGGAGACAAAAACAACACGTTTTACCCAAAAAATCTTTCTGTGATTGCAAGCTTCACCCAATAGATGGTCTACAGTGCCGAAACGAAAAACAGGTCAAGTTCGTGATTCCAGCACTGGACAGACGGCGAATTGAAAACTCGCTTCAACTCGAATGTTGCCTCATATGACAGGAGCAGCAGCATAGTCTTGTGGTTAGCTAGTTAAGCCGAAGAACAAGATTTGAATTTGCATGACGGGTGCGATGTCTGAAGATCGTTACCAGTATCCCCTGCCGTAATCTTGCTGGAATGTCTGTACATTATGTATATGTATGTATCATCGTTTTATGGTACTAATTGCATTATTGTATTTTCGTAAACTTGCAACATTCTCTACAAATCTTCACACGTATTTTACACTACCAGGATTGTCATTAGGCCAGGGATATGTTTAACTTGCCATCAACTACTGCCCCCCCCCCTCTTTGATCCTTCAATTACGTCCGTGTATGTGTAGGCTACTCAAGATTGCGATCATGAACAATTCTGGGATATTTTTACATAACTGTCAACTCTTGAGAGTTGCAATGAGTGAGAAGTGTTTTCTAGGTTATTTAAAGATGTTTTTTATGTCATTTGGTGCTAGTTTATAAGACAAAAAACTTAAAAACATAAAAAGATCACAACATATTTCAGAATTTTCTTATAAACCGGACAATTCCGTTCTATAACAATGTTCTCTTAGCATAACAGCATGTAACATTGTTATAATGATAATTTTTTTAAATAATTAATAATACGTGAGTTAAGAGAGGTAAAGCGTGAGTGCGTGACATTGAGGTAAAATGCGTCATGCTCGTGTTAGAGTTGATAGGGAAGTAAGTAATTTTATGTAAGTGTGTTACTTCAGAAAATATCCAAAACAATGTCCATCCTTTCTTCAGAATATTGATAACGTCATGACCAAACACGGTCATGATTCTTTGATATTTGACGCTATGTTGTTACCAACCGTTTACAGATCACTAAATAAACATCGGGGAGAGTTCTATGGATATACAACTTCTTTATCATTAATTTTAGTGACGTTTCGGTGTAGCTACTAACACGGTTACCAATCACGTGACGATAAAAATCACTACATAGTTTCCGTGTTCTCGCGTGTGACTTCAGTGGTAACCAGAAATGAACATCATGCCAGATTATACAATCACAGACACGCTTCGAGATGACAATGACGGAAGAAATTACTAAAGTTAATCATTGTATCATATAACAGTTCCGACTGTACTGATGGCAGTTAACGCATGCTAATATCCAAAATACGTTGACTGAACGTGACTATCACACAATGCATGTCTCCAGCGCTGGAAGGTAACAACTACGATGTGACTTGTTTATGCAGTGTGATATTTGTTCTAGAAAAATACATTTAGTGCACTTAGCAGTTGTATAAGCTAAGTTAATAACCAGCTTCCTCAATTGATAGCTGACCTTTCCCTCCGAGCCATGCTGGCCTTTTGAAGGAGGAGGGGCTGAGAGCACCACACTGTTCCACTGTTATATACGCATATGACAACTAGCATACGACATTTGGACTTTTCTGTTCCACGTCCAGCTATACCATGCAATGTTCTATGCCCGAGCGAGCGTGCAGAAAACCACCAGCCTTGTGTATGTCATTAAGCTACCCACAGACACGCATGCATTCCCATTATTCAATCGCGACGAATATTCGTTCCCAATTTCTCAGTTTTCAGCAAGAATTAAAATTTGTGTTCATCCCAACAAATGAGCAACATGAATGATTAAATCCAGTGCTCCAGATAAACACCGTATCGGCGTATGTACGGATATAAAATTAGTACGATACGGTTGGAAATCATTTAGAAAACGTAGCAGATACGCAGCACAGCAATAGTGTACGTACGGTCATTTACAAACGTATTTATCTGAAAAATATTGTTTTATTGTTTATTGACCTGTTTACACAAGAGCAGCAATGTGGTGGTGCATATATGAAACGAAACACAAGATTACTGATACTCCATTAAATTCCATTCAATACTCTAAATGTACTCTTGTTGTTTTCCAGTACTCCTATTTTAATTGAAAAATAAGTACGTACTCCTGATCATGAAACATTATCTGGAGCCCTGATAATGATGAAACACCACCCTACCGATAAGACTTTCTATTCCTATGAAGGAAACATGTGCAAAATACAACAAATGCTCCCTAAGCTTTAACCCACATTTAAATTCAGGCAATTTATCAAGCATCTTGATGCATTACGTGTCAATACATAAGGAGCCTGAGAGTTAGATTACAGCCAATCTAAATTCAGCCAAATGTGGTGGAAATTTAACTGTGATAATGTCAGATTTGGGTAAGAATTTTACATGAAACTTCAGTCTGATATCTCATGCTAGACACAGTGGGTTCGAACATTCTCTCTTTCTTTCCGTACCACTAAATGTGATATCCTTCTTGATACCCTCCTCTAAAACTGAGTGATGTTTTTGTAAGTTTGACAACTGCTTGACGCTGACAGCACTCATCGGATTTGTCGACATCGTGTATTCTGCAGAATGATGTTAGGGGATTTATCAACTGCTTAAGCGAATCCCTCCCTGTCATGTCCTGAGACAATGCGGCGACCCACAACGCCAACAGCAGACGAAGCAGCACTAAGCTAATATTGCGGCGAAGACAGAAGCATATTTCTGCATGGACTTGAAAATGAATGTTATCACTTCTCCCTGAGAAACAAATAGAAAACAAACTCCATGCTCTGGTGCCAAATTCCTGTCTAGGTCTAGACGTTCTAATAAGTAACATTTGTAAAAGTTAGGAAAATATTCACAATGTGTTTAGGCAAATTTTTAACTGTGTGATTCATACACGTAGTAAAATGTATGATGGACAAAAACAAAGTGGTCACTGAACGACTTCAACCTCTTCGATTTTGTTTTAGGGAGCGTCGGTTCTTTCGTATATAAAGTCCTACAAAAACGAGTGAGTCAGATAAGCTTAAATATTACAATATATTTTAAACTAACGCTTCGGCCCTGAATACATAATTTTGATAGTAACAAATAAACGCATTTAAATTGAAAAAAAGCCCCAGTGAGTTGGAGGAAATCTAGACTTGCTTCATTTAGGGCTTTAGCATTGCAGGGAGGGTTATGCAGTAGGGCAAATAATGGGGTTCAGGGACTGGGAGACCGACTAATTATATTTGTACTGTCAATTTAACCATCTTAGCTTACACGACAACGTATGGTATAGATTTACAACTTCTTTAATATATTTACAACACGACGTTTCTGGGCTTTTTCTTGCCCCTTCATCAGGTGAATGACAGAATATGATACAAGCAAATATATAGTAATCTTAGATTAGTAATCAACGATTCATCGTAAGAGCTCAAAACTTGCACAGCAGTACTGCCTTTACCAGTTAAGAATGCGCGGTATCTTAATCCGCCTTTGATCATGTATCGTCACGTACACACCTGCCAACGTTTATACAGGGTCACCATGCACTGCGTGACTTGTAGGAAGGGCATAGGAGCCCAAGAGCAACGTCAAAATGCTGCATTAAATTTAACCCGCCCGTGCAGCGCATAACAAAAGACGGACGTGTCTTATTGTAACAGTTATGCAGCGAGATGCGTGACGTGGGTTTCTATGTGCTCAGACGCTCGTAAAATCGACCTTATTTTAGTTTCTTTTCAAATATTGACAGCGTGTTTAGCTTCTCATGAATGGTCCGCGAATCAGCTGGATACAGTGAGTCATTGATGAAATATCTTAAACGGGTTTCTCTTTCCGAGTTCAGGACCAGTGTGTTAAGAAAAACGATATCTCGGTATTACAAATGTTAATGTAATCATTTGGAAATGACACAGGGGCTACATGCGTGGTGACATATTTTCACTTCCTCAGTAGAAACCCCGGAAACCTAATTAGCCATTTGAGCTACTCAACTCGTATACTATTGGCAACAGAGACTAACACTTAGTCTCTGAATATATAAGTTTGATTGTAACAAATAAACCCATTTAAATTGAAAAGGAGCCCAAGGAGTGGAAAATGATATGGTCCAGGGACTGTGAGACGGACTATTGGCAACGCAGCTGTTACCGTTCTGAATGACGGTAGTTGGAAAAAAACTTCAGTCAGCATGACAATATATTTCGTCAAGTGACATTATGTAAACCTAAATATTTCACACGTAGGCCTGTTTGGCCCTAATTATTAAAAGTACTAATTTTGCGTCAAGAGTTGCATACCTTTGACACGCCAGAATCCCATGATCGCGGGTTCGAATCCCGGTTCGTCAGACTATGATTCTTGGTTTACCAGTACCATACCCACGTACGTGGGGTTCACCATAGTCTGTCTCACAGTCCCTGAACCATATTATTTTCCCCAATGGTTAGCCCTCCCTGTAATGCTAAAGCCCTAAATGAAGCAAGCCTAGATTTCCTCAGGTTCATCTCTGGTCTCACTTGGGCTCCTTTTCAATTTAAATGGGTTTATTTGCTACTATCAACATATATGTATTCAGGGACTAAACGTTAGTCTAGGTTGACCAACGCGGTATACATCCAAGCAGTTTAAGACATAAATCACAACGGGCTTTCCTCCCACGTCAAGCTGTGACATGGCGTGATTTTAATCAAATAACCACTTTTCACAACAGCGTTTGCCCCCAACTCACCACAAGGACGGGTCACGTTTCAGTATCTCTTATACATGGTAACATGTTGATACACTGGCGTGGAGCAGGTGCATCTGCAGTGCTATTTATGCCTGGGTGCTTGTGTAGGTGATTAGCCGTGTGTTGACAAGTATACGCATGTCCCTGCTGTGACCCAGCCCACGCCCACGGCGATGTCTAATGTAGTTACCGACTGCACCGCAAGTGTGCCAAGTCCTAATACGACAAACCCATCGTGATGGAGGAAGTGGATCTCTTTATTGATTTAACCATACGAGTTGACATTTC